TGTAATGGGAGGCCAAGGTGGGTGGATTACCTGAGGTCAGGAGTTGGAAACCAGCCTGGCCAAAATGGCGAAACCTTGTCTCTATGAAAAATACAAAAATTAGCTGGGGATGGTGGCACATGCCTGTAATCCCAGCTACTAGTGGGGCTGAGGCAGGAGGATCACTTGAACTTAGGAGGCTGAGGTTGCAGTGAGCCAAGATCATGCCACTGCACTCTAGCCTTGGCAACACAGTGAGACTCCATCTCAAGAAAAAAAAAAAAAAAAAAAAAGAATATGAAGTAACACTCAAACTCACTAGTAATCAGAGAAATGTAATTTTAAATAACTAAGAGTACACTTAATATACACATTAGAATTGCAAATATTAGAGAGTTGTATAATATTAAGTGTTGGGAAGGGTCTGAGGTAATAAAAACTGACAGTAATAATGTTGATACTGTAAACATCTACAGACCTGGGTTTTCTTGTTTTGTTTTGTTTTTCAGGTTTTTTTAAAGAATGTCTCACCATGTTATCAAGGCTGGCTTCAAACTCCTGGGCTCAGGCAATCCTCCTACCTCAGCCTTCTGAGAAGCTGGGACTACAAGTGCATGCCATGCCCGGTTTATAGCTACAGATTTTCTGAAAAATAATCTGATGCTACTTAGTAAAATTAAGCATGCACATACCTTACCACAGAAATTCCACTCCGAGGAATATGTTCCAGAGAAATTCTTGAACTGGCTCACAGGGGACTATGTAAGAGATAACTGTCTGGCATTGTGTATAGAAGTCAGGAATGGGGAAGTAAAGTATAATGGATGCCTACCATGGAATCCTATGTAGCAGTTATAAGCAATGAATTAGATTATATGTAGTGATAAGGATGAATCCTGAAAACAGAGTTAATCAAAAAAAAGTAAAAGCAGGCTGGCATGGTGACTCACATCTGTAATCCCAGGACTATGGGAAGGTGAGGCAGGTGGATGGCTTGAGCCCAGGAGTTTGAGACCAGCCTGGGCAACATAGCAAGACTCCATCTCTATACAAAAAAGAAAAAAGTGTACATTTTAAAAAAAAATTTTTTTTAAGACAAAGTCTCACTCACTCTCTCTCCCAGCCTAGAGTGCAGTGGCATGATCTCTGCCCACTGCAACCTCCCCCTTCTGGGTTCAAGTGATTCTCGTGCCTCAGCCTCCCGAGTAGCTGGGATTACAGGCATGCACCACCACACCCAGCTAATTTTTGTATTTTTAGTAGAGATGGGGTTTTGCCAAGTTGGCCAGGCTGGTCTCAGATTCCTGACCTGAAGTGATCCGCCTGCCTTCGTGTCCCGAAGTGCTGGGATTGCAGGTGTAAGCCACCAAGGCTGACCTTAAAAATTTTTTTAAAGAGGAAGTTCAAACATTATTTCTTCTTGGAGGTCTTTCCTGTTGATGCATTCAATCATATATTCATCTGTCTATTGACTCATTCAACAAGGATTGAGCACTTTTACGAAGGATAATGCAAGGTACTAAAGGTATGATGGTAAGCCAAAAATAGAGGGTTACCTTCATCATCTCCTTGGAGGTCTATTGGGGGAAACTGAGTTTAGTAAACATATTATGTTCATATTGATAAATATATAATTACCAACTAACATACATGCTCTGAGGAAACAAACATTAGTTTTTGCGAGTGCATAGCCAAGAGGTCTTTACTAGAGTGGGGTGGGTGGTAGGTAAAGGGGTTCAAGGAAGGCCTGAGGAAATAACAATGGAAATCAATTTGGAGGCATAAATAGGCAAAGTGGAAGTGAAAAGGACATTCCAGAAACAGGGACCATATAGAGCAATCAGGACAAACTTGAGGAATTGAAAGAAGCCATGAAGTTGGAGGTATTAATAGAAGGGGAAGAGTGGTGGAAGATGGAAGGTTTCAGTGGGGAGAGGTCAAGGGATAGTGGTAGCCTGACTGGATGTGCATTTTGGAAAGATTACTCTAGCTGCTATATGGAGAATGGAAGAGTGTGAAAAAAAAGAGAGACTAAGGGATGGGAGACCAACTAAGAGACTCTTGCAATTGCCTAGGTGAAACTGAGGTGGATTAGGGTGGTGCTAACAAAGAACAAGAAAGTAGATGGGCCGGTGGCTCACTTTGAGAGGCCCAAGGCAAGTGGATCACTTGCGGTCAGGAGTTCGACACATCCTGACCAACATTTGTGAAACCCTGTCCCAACTAAAATACAAAAATTTAGCTGGGCATGGTGGCTGGCGCCTGTAATCCCAGCTGCTCAGGAGCTGAGGCAGGAGAATTGCTTTGAACCTGGGAGGTGAGGCTGCAGTGAGCCAAGATCAGGCCACTGCACTCCAGCCTGGGTGACAGAGCAAGACTCATCTCAAGAGAAAGAAAAGGGAAAGGGAAGGGAAGGGATAGGGAGGGAAAGGGGAAAGGAAGGGGAAGGGAAGGGGAAGGGGAAGGGGAAGGGGAGAAGGAGAGGGGAAGAGGAAAGAGAAAAAGAGTTAAAGAAAAAGAAAAGAAAGAGAAAGAGAGTGAGAGTGAAGAGAAAGAGAGAAAAAAAGTAAAGGAAAAAGAAAGAACGAAATAAAAAGAAAGAAAAGAAAAAGGAAGGAAAGAAAGAAAAACGAAAGAAGAAGAAGAAAGAAAAGAAAGAAAGAAAAAAGAAAGAAAGAAAGGAAAGAAAAGAAAGAAAGAAAGAAAGGAAGAAAGAAAATTTTTTCTTTTTTGAGACCAGAGTCTCACTGTCACCTCAGGCTGGGAGAATGCAGTGTACAATCTCTGCTCACTGCGCCTCTGCCTCCTGTTCAAGCGGATTCTCCTGCTCAACCTCTTGAGTAGCTGGGATTACAGGCACCAGCCACCATGCCTAAGCTAATTTTTTTGTATTTTAGTAAGAGTACAGGGTTTCCACCAGTGTTGGTCAGGATGGTCTCAGATTCTTGAACTCAGGTGATCCGCGCCCACCTTGGCCTCCAAAGTGCTGGGGATTATGAGGCATAGAAACCAGCGGAAAGTAAAGATGAAATTTTTTTTTGTTGTTTGTGGTGGTTTCTTTTTTTGAGATGGGGATTTTCTCTCTTGTTGCCCAGGTTGGAGTGCAGTGGTGCGATCTCAGGCTCACCTCAACCTCCACCCTCCCAGGTTCAAGCGATTCTCCTCGCCTCAGTCTCCTGAGTAGCTGGGATTACAGGCATGCACCACCAGGCCCGGCTAATTTTTGTGTTATCCAGTAGAGAAGGGTTTTCTCCATGTTGGTCAGCCTGGTCTTGAACTCCCGACCTCAGGTGATCCACCTGCCTTGGCCTCCCAAAGTGCTGGGATTACAGGCATGAGCCACTGTGCCCAGCCTGAAAGTAGAGGAATTTTAAAGATACATACAATTAGTAAAGATACCTTACATATCTTTAATTTTTTTTTTTTTTTTTTTTTTTTTTTAGACAGAGTCTCGCTCTGTCGCCCAGGCTGGAGCGCAGTGGCCGGCCTCAAGAGATCTGCCTGGGCCATCCAAAGTGCTGGGAAGGACACCTGCAGCCCCAGGCTAGACAATGTAGCCAGATCCTGTCTCTACAAAAAACCACAAATATTAGCTGGTGGGGGGCACCTGTAGTCCCAGCTACTTGAGAGGCTGAGGTGGGAGGATCCTTGAACTCAGGAGGTCCAGGCTGCAGTGAGCTGAGATCGCACCACTGCACTCCAGCCTGGACGACAGAGTGAGACCCTGTCTCAAAAATGCATAAATAGTAAAATTAGTGAGAGTGAATGAGAGATGGGATATGTAAAGGGAGTGGGAGGACTTAAGGAGTAACTCCTCGTTTCTGACTTGTGTAAGAATAACTTCTGTGATTGGTGGGGAAAATTCACCAGAGTTCTGTCAACTTGAAAGTGTTGTTCATTTCCTGTCCCCCATTAGGGGTTACCCCTTCCATCTTAAGCAGGATATTATAGGATCTCTCAGTCTCACAGCTCTGCCCACCAATAACCAGCAGTGAGCCCCCTCTCCCTAGACCTCTAGATCTGCAAAAGGCAACCTGGAGGCAAGGAAAGCCCAGCTGTGAGTAGTCATTCAATTCTGGTGCTGTGGTAACTGAGTTCAAAAACAATGAGTCTTGTTACCTATCGTGAAATGAAAGACACCTCACCAGACACCTCACTGGGTTGTGAGGCTCCAAGGAGCACACATATTGTTAGGCTCAGTTCGATTCCCTTCAGCCCTCTGCCTGTTTGAAGGCAGTTCCTTATCTTGGAGACAACGTGCAGATGTTCTCTCTCTCTCTATCCCTCTTTATTTATTTATGTATTTATCCTTAAGACAGGGTCTCTCTGTTGCCCAGGCTGGAGTGCAGTGGCATGACCACAACTCAAACAGCCTCAACCTCCTGGGCTCAAAACGATCCTCCTGCCTCAGCCTCCAGAGCAGCTGGGACTACAAGCGCGCACCACTGCACAGGGATTATTATTATTTTATTATTTTGTAGAGACAGGGGTGGGAGTGGTCTCGCTATGTTGCCCAGGCTGGTCTCAAACTCATAGCTCAAGAGATCCTCCCGCCTCGGCGTCCCAAAGTGCCGGGATTACAGGCGCCTGCCCCAAAGTGCCGGGATTACAGGCACCTGCCACCGCGCCCGGACGCAGATATTTTCTATGGGTATCTGGAATGGCGTCCCCAAAGCTTGGCGCAGTGCTATGGTCAAGCCGGGTGGGGGGCACAGGCCAGCCTTCAACACCGTTGGCACCAATCAGAACAAGCAACCGTCCTCTCAGGGCCGCGATGGCCCCTTTCTGCCAATGGCCAGCCCCTCGCCGGTCCCGAGACCTCGCGAGAGCTCCCATGGCTACGCCTTCCCCGGCCTCGGAAAGGCCTCGGAACTGCCCCATCCTTCCTCTTTCCCCGCCTTCCAGCGGCGCTCCACTCTCGGATTGGCTGATTGAGCCGAGTCAGTTTTTTTTTTTTTTTTCTGGCCAGAAAGCGGTTCGACAATTGGTCCTTCTTTTGGCCCCTCCTGCGAAGCCCGCGGATTGGACGGCTGAGTCTGGCTACACAGGCCTCCGCGGGAGCGCGGCCGGGCCAATCAGGAGCTTGGCGTATTTTACAAACTGAGGAAGTAGCTCCAGCCGTATCCGAGAGAGTCAGGCGAAAAGCGGAGGAAGCTGGGTGGGCCCTGAGGGGCTCTCGGTAAGGTAAGGCACGGGGGTCTTGGAGGGAACGAGGGCTGCTGGGCTCATAGGGACGAGGGCAGTTCGAGGTCCGAGGGCGAAAGAGTAGGCTCGGGGTGTCTGGAGGTAGCACCCATAAGAGCGGTCTTGCAGGCGCCGGGGGCTTGTGGGCGCGTGGATTAGGGCGGAGGTATCAGGGATGGCAGGACAGGTGCCCCGAGAACTGGTTGATCTTTAATCTCCGATTCTACCTGCCTTCTTCCCCGTCTCAACTGTAGCCATCATGACCACCCGGCAAGCCACGAGGGATCCCCTTCTCCGGGGTGTATCTCCTACCCCTAGCAAGATTCCGGTACGCTCTCAGAAACGCACGCCTTTCCCCACTGTTACATCGTGCGCCCTGGACCAGGAGAACCAAGATCCAAGGGTAAGAGCGGCCTAATGGGGGAAGACAGTAGTCACACCAGTAATGCACCCCAACACTAAACCTCACCTTTTTGTCCCCCCTCCCTCCCCTAGAGATGGTTGCAGAAACCACCGCTCAATATTCAACGCCCCCTCGTTGATTCAGCAGGCCCTAGGCCCAAAGCCAAGCACCAGGCAGAGACATCACAAAGATTGGTGGGGATCCCTCAGCCTCGGAACCCCTTGGAGGAGCTCAGGCCTAGCCCTAGGGGTCAAAATGTGGGGCCTGGGCCCCCTGCCCAGACAGGTACCTGTTGGAGCCCTGGTAACACGGCCTCCATGGCCGAGTAGGGAACTAGGAAGGGTAAAAGTGGGGTTTTGGGGTTTTGCACTCACTCCTGCTGTCTCCTGCTTACTGTGATAGTCCTGGTTCCACCTCCTGGAAAGCTCTTTGCTCTTAGAAGATCTCCCTTTCCTCCAGCAAAATGTCATCTCACCAGGCGCCATGGCTTGTACCAGTAATCACAGCTACTCAGGAGGCTAAAGCGGGAGGATCACTGGAGGCCAGGAGTTGGAGACTAGCCTGGATGACAGAGGGAGATCCTATCTCTTTAAAAAATAAATAAATAAATAATAAATGTCACTTCTTCTGAAGCCTTTTCCAGTTCCCCATGTCACTTGTTCTCCTAATACTTTGCAGTACTTCTTTTATAACATGTATATACCTTGGCTTGAGTCTGTTACCTGTCTATAGTTTGATGATAGCTTCTTGAGGATAGGGGCTTTGTCTTATTCTTATGGGACCCCAATGCTTAGAATAGTGTCTTATGTAACATTCTATGAACATTTGGTGGGCAGGTGTGGTGGCTAACGCCTGTAATTCCAACACTTTGAGAGGCTGAGGCGGGAGGGTCACTTGAGCTCAGGAGTTTGAGACCAGCCTGGACAACATAGTGAGACCCCATTTCTTTTTAGTTTTTCTTTTTTCTTTTCTTTCTTTCTTTTTTTTTTTTTTTGGAGATAGAGTCTTACTGTATCCCTCAGGTTGGACGACAGTGGCATGATCTCAACTCACTGCAATATCCACCTCCGAGGTTCAAGCAATTCTCATGACTCAGCCTCCCCCAAGTACCTGGGATTACGGACACCTGCCACCACACCTGGCTAATTTTTGTTTGCTTTATTTATTTATTTATTTATATGAGACGGAGTCTCACTCTGTCACCAGGCTGGAGTGCAGTGGCATGATCTTGGCTCACTGCAGCCTCCACCTCCCAGGTTCAAATGATTCTCCAGCCTTAGCCTCCTGAGTAGCTGGGACTACAGGTATGTGCCACCATGCCCAGCTAATTTTTTTTTTTTTTAGTAGAGATGGGGTTTCACTATGTTGACCAGGCTGGTCTCAAACTCCTGACCTCAGGTGATCTGCCCATCTCAGCCTCCCAAAGTGCTGGGATTACAGGAGTGAGCTACCATGCCCAGCCAATTTTTGTATTTTTTTAGTAGAGACAGGGTTTTGCCATGTTGGCCAGGTTGGTCTCAAACTCCTGACCACAAGTGATCCACCCGCCTCAGCCTCCCAAAGTGCTGGGATTACAGGTGTGAGCCACCACGCCCAGCCATCTATTGCTTAAAAAAAAAAAAAAGCCAAATTCAATTGAATGAGTCTCTTTTGCTCACCTTGTATCTCAAAGTGACTATGCTAGGGTCCCTATCCCCCTCAGCATTCCCCCTTCCTGTTCCTTCTTACCTTTCCTTCTCTTTCCTTGCAGAGGCTCCAGGGACCATAGAGTTTGTGGCTGACCCTGCAGCCCTGGCCACCATCCTGTCAGGTGAGGGTGTGAAGAGCTGTCACCTGGGGCGCCAGTCTAGTCTTGCTAAGAGAGTACTGGTTCGAGGAAGTCAGGGAGGCACCACCCAGAGGGGCCAGGTAATGAAACAGGATGTGAGAAGACCAGGCTGGGGGCGCTGAGGTGGGCATCCTGAGCTGTGCTGACAGCCTCTGTTGGTGTCCCAGGGTGTTCCGGCCTCTGCATATTTGGCCCCCAGAACTCCCACTCACCGACTGGACCCTGCCAGGGCTTCCTGCTTCTCAAGGCTGGAGGGACCAGGACCTCGAGGCCAGACTTTGTGCCCCCAGAGGCTACAGGCTCTGGTGAGTGCCCTTGAGAGGCCTGATACTTGGTGCTTCTGGGAGCTCCTTCCAGGGACAAAGCTGGCTTTTGGGAGAGGAAGTACCTCATGATGAGGCAAGGGATCCTATTGGGGGAGATGGGGTTGGTGGTGAGGCCTGAGGGTTTAGGGTCCACCTCTGATTCCATTTTCATCTCTTGCTCCTGTGGATCAGATTTCACCTTCAGGACCTTCCTTTCACCCTTCCACTCGCCCCAGTTTCCAGGAGCTAAGAAGGGAGACAGCTGGCAGCAGCCGGTGAGAAAGGAGAGGGTGTGGGAGAAGGTCATCTGGAAAAGAATGAACCAGTGTCTGATACAGGAGTCCCCCAGAGTTGGGGCCTTCCAGTAGCTTTAGGACTCCCCACCAACTCTGAAGGGGAAGCAAGAAACCTGTGATTACCCAGGATGAGCCCTTGGGATAGGGTTCAGGCCTTCACAGGCAGGCCTCAGTGTGACAGCAGTTTCTTCAAGTCATGGGGGGACAGGGAGGACAGAAATGTGCTATCTCTTTTGTTTAGTGGCTACAGTATAGACTGTGGCAATAAATGGGATTTGGGTTTATATCCTAACTCTTACCATTTACCAGTTGTGCAAGCTTGCCTTCACCTCTCTGAGCTTTGGTTTCTTTGTCAAGTGAGAATAACATTTGTATCATCATTAGAAATTGTCATGAGAATGAAATGAGATGATGTTTGTAAAGCACTTAGCACATGTCCAGCTCATACTTGGTACTCAGTGACTGCTGGCTACTGTCCTTATTGTCATCAGGACTTCAGTGAGCCAGGCCTCAGGATTGCTCCTGGAGACCCCAGTCCAGCCTGGTGAGTGTGTCTGGCTGTGGGGGGAGCACAGGGGCAGTTGGGCTGCCTGAAGCAGGGAACAAGATCAGATAAAACTCAGCAGGCTGGGAGGGAGCATGAGAAAGTGGGAGGCTGGGAGGCTAGGTCAGAACGAGAAGAAGAAGAGACTTTCTAGATAGGCCAGAGGTTGGCACAGTTGCACTTGTGTCAAAGGAGATGGTCTTCATTTCGGCCCTCTCTCTGCCACTTCCTGCAAGATTTATCTTCCACTCACTGTTTATCCCCAGCCCCTAAGTGCCATCACCACATCCCCAGCCTACTCAGACGTTCAGATTAGTAAGTGTTTACTGAGATAGTGTTGGGTGTTGAGGGGCTGCTGGATGGGCTCCTGTCCCTAATAGTGCAATGGGGGCTATTAAACTAATATACCCTCTTCAGGGGCCAGGCGCGGTGGCTCAAGCCTGTAATCCCAGCACTTTGGGAGGCCGAGACGGGCGGATCACGAGGTCAGGAGATCTCCTGGCTAACACGGTGAAACCCCGTCTCTACTAAAAAATACAAAAAAAAAAAAAAAAACAAAAAAAACAAAAACTAGCCGGACGCGGTGGCGGGCGCCTGTAGTCCCAGCTACTCGGGAGGCTGAGGCCGGAGAATGGCGTGAACCCGGGAGGCGGAGCTTGCAGTGAGCTGAGATCCGGCCATTGCACTCCAACCTGGGCGGCAGAGCGAGACTTCGCCTCAAAAAAAAAAAAAAAAAAAAATATATATATATATATACCCTCTTCAGAAGTTGTAGAACCCTGTGCCAAACTTCGGTGGGTGTTCTAGAGTCTACAACAAATGTCCCGTTTCTTCCTAGCTTTCTCTCTCCCTAAAGGAGAACATGAGGTTGTCACTCGCTCAGATGAAGGAAGTGTGGCCTCTCTTGGTCTGGCCCAGCGAGTACCATTAAGAGAAAACCGAGAAATGACACATACCAGGGTGAGATGCAACTCTCCTGGGATGGTGGGTGGGAGGTGCAGGAGATGCTTGGGAGAATTTCGCAGCAGCAGCCAACACTGAGAATTGTAGGTAGAGCCAGGCAGTCTTGGGCCTCAGGATGTTATTGGGTAGGTTTACCCCAGATGCACCCAGTCCCTCTCCAATGTGAAACTGACCTCTCTTTATCAAATGTCTAGGGCCTGGGGTGAGAGATCATATTTGTATCACCATCAGATCAGTGCTAAGGGTGAGACAGATCTGCCACTTGTCAGCCAAAAGCATTCATCCCTTCGCTTCACAAATATTTACTGAGTAGCACCAGCCTACTGAGTGCCAGGCCGTGTTCTAGGCTCTGGACATACAGCAATAAACAAGTTCATATTCTAGAAGGGGGAGACAAGAAATAAACACATATATAAAATAGTGTCTCAGATGACTGTAAGTTCTCTATAAAAAAATAATAAAAATAATAGGGCACTAAAGGGGAATTGGGAGCAGGGGAGTTGGTGTTGCAATTTAAAATAGATTGGTCAGGGAACTCTTATTGAGAAGATGATGTTTAAGTGAAGACCAGGGGTTGGAGGAGGAGTGAGATATGTTGATATCTGGGGGAAGGAATGTTCCAGGCCAAGAGAACTGAAGAGGCAAAGGCCCTGGGGAGAGAATGTGCCTGGCATATTTGAGGATCGGCAAAAAGGAGAGGCCAGTGAGATTGAAGCAGAGTAAGGAGAGTGGTAGGAGATATGGTTTTAGTGATAACACGATCAGATTGGGTAAGGAATTGTACACCAGTGTAAGTCCTTGGCTTTTCTTGGAAGTAGTGGGAAGCCATGGGGAGAAGGGTTGATCAAGAAAGTGACATGATTTGACTTAGATCTTTTTTTTTTTTTTTTGAGACGGAGTTTCACTCTTGTTGCCCAGGCTGGAGTGCAGTGGCATGATCGCCGCTCATCACAACCACCGCCTCCCAGGTTCAAGTGATTCTCCTGCCTCAGCCTCCTGAGTAGCTGGGATTACAGGCATGCACCACCACGCCTGACTAATTTTGTAGTTTTAGTAGAGACAGGGTTTCTCCATGTTGGTCAGGCTGGTCTCGAACTCCCGACCTCAGGTGCTCTGTTCTCCTTGGCCTCCCAAAGTGCTGGGATTACAGGCCTGAGCCACCATGCCTGGCTTGACTTAGGTCTTAAAAGAATCACGCTGGCTGCTGTAGTGAGAACAAGATATAGGAAGACAAAGGGGGCAGGGATCACTCTTCCACCCTTTTCTTCTTCACAGGACAGCCGTGACTCCCACCTGATGCCCTCCCCTGCCCCTGTGGCCCAGCCCTTGCCTGGCCATGTGGTGCCATGTCCATCACCCTTTGGACGGGCTCAGCGTGTACCCTCCCCAGGCCCTCCAACTGTGGTTTGTGTCAACAACTGGGGGCTGGGCAGGGGCAGAACAGTCTGGCCAGAGATCCTTGCTAGGTCTGCTAAGCCACCCACATCTCTCCCCAGACCTCATATTCAGTGTGGCGGCGTCTCACCATTCAACCTAAAACCCGATTCACGCCCATGCCATCAACCCCCAGAGTTCAGCAGGTAAGAGAGGGCATGGGGAGGTGGCTGGCAGAAGCCACAGCTAGGGGAGAAAGGAGATGGATGGGTACAGGAGAGAGAAGACAGAAGCAAGGGAAGGTTGAGTGCCACCTGTGGGTGTCAGGCCTTGCTGACATCTCACTTCTGTGCCAGGCCCGGTGGCTGAGTGGTGTTTCCCCTCAGTCCTGCTCTGAAGATCCTGCCCTGCCCTGGGTAAGTATCAGAAGGCTCCCCCTACTGAGATTCCTTGCCCTGTGCTGCCAGCCTGAAGGCCCAGGAGTTTGAGACACATGTGCTTTCTGGGCCAGGCATGATGGCTCACACCTGTAATCCCAGCACTTTGGGAGGCTGAGGTGGGAGGATTGCTTGAGCCCAGATCTTTGAGACCAGCCTGGGCAACATAGTGAGACCCTGTCTCTACTAAAAATTTTAAAAATTAGAAAATGCTCTCTGGAAAAGCTGCCTAACTCTCCCTGCTTCTCTGCTGCCCCTCCTAATGTACATCTAGGGCCTCTCAGTCAGCGGCTTTAATCTATTCCTCATGAGGGTGGGACTCAGGCTGGTCTTTCTCCTGCCCCATCCTGGCTTTCTTGTGTGCCTTTTTCCTTGGTGACAGGAGCAGGTTGCCGTCCGGTTGTTTGACCAGGAGAGTTGTATAAGGTCACTGGAGGGGTCTGGGAAACCACCTGTGGCCACTCCTTCAGGACCCCACTCTAACAGAACCCCCAACCTCCAGGAGGTGAAGATTCAAGTGAGTCTGTGTGGGCAACAGCTTTGATGTCTATTGAACAGTGACTGGGGCTGAGGAAGAAGGAAAAGAGATGGGGGGTCAGGAATAGGACAGTGTAAGTAGACTACTGAATGCACATCTTGATGTCATACTGGGGTGCTCTCTCCCACCACAGCGCATCGGTATCCTGCAGCAGCTGTTGAGACAGGAGATAGAGGGGCTGGTAGGGGGCCAGTGTGCCCCCCTTAATGGAGGCTCTTCTCTGGATATGGTTGAACTTCAGCCCCTGCTGACTGAGATTTCTAGAAATCTGAATGCCACAGAGCATAACTCTGGGACTTCCCACCTTCCTGGATTGTTAAAATGCTCAGGGCTGCCAAAGCCCTGCCTTCCAGAGGAGTGCGGGGAACCACAGCCCTGCCCTCCAGCGGAGCCTGGGCCGCCAGAGGCCGTCTGTAGGAGTGAGCCTGAGACACCAGAGCCCTCCCCCCAGGAACAGCTTGAGGTACCAGAGCCCTGCCCTCCAGCAGAACCCAGGCCCCCAGAGTCCTGCTGTAGGAGTAAGCCTGAGATACCGGAGCCCTCCCGCCAGGAACAGCTTGAGGTACCAGAGCCCTGCCCTCCAGCAGAACCCAGGCCCCCAGAGTCTTGCTGTAGGAGTGAGCCTGAGATACCAGAGCCCTCTCAGCAGGAACAGCTTGAGGTACCAGAGCCCTGCTCTCCAGCAGAACCCAGTCCCCTTCAGCCCAGCACCCAGGGGCAGTCTGGACCCCCAGAGCCCTACCCTAGGGTAGAGCTGGGGGCATCAGAGCCCTGCACCCTGGAACATATAAGTCCAGAGTCCAGCCTACCACCCTGCTGCAGTCAGTGGGCTCCAGCAACCACCAGCCTGATCTTCTCTTCCCAACACCCGCTTTGTGCCAGCCCCCCTATCTGCTCACTCCAGTCTCTGAGAACGCCGGCAGGCCAGGCAGGTAAGGAGTTGGCTGGGAAGGAGTGTGAACACAAGAGGTCCTCAACTCACTGTGAGCTGCACCCCTGCCCTGCCCCACCCCTGCTCCAGGCAATCCCATGCTTCCACACCTTCCACCCTGGCCCAGCCTGGCTCTCCCTCAGGAAGAGGGTGCTCCTAATTGGCTTGGCCGTTGGTGGGGGAGGAGGAAAGGACAGTACATGGTGGAAGTATGGGACTCCAGACCGCCCTCTGAATTCTCCATGCCCCTCAGGCCTCAGCAGTCTGGCCCCTCGAACCCTAGCCCTGAGGGAGCGCCTCAAATCGTGTTTAACCGCCATCCACTGCTTCCATGAGGCTCGTCTGGACGATGAGTGTGCCTTTTACACCAGCCGAGCCCCTCCCTCAGGCCCCACCCGGGTCTGCACCAACCCTGTGGCTACATTACTCGAATGGCAGGATGCCCTGGTGAGACTCCAACCCACAGCCCAGCTGTGGCTGCACAGTGAGCCTGATGGGAGGTGGGGAACGGGGACAGGGGGCCACCTGGGCTCCTTCACAGAGAGGTCAGCAGGAAGGCTTGGCTACAGTGCAAGGCTGGCTGGGCTGTGACAAGGTCTTCTCTCTCTCCAGTGTTTCATTCCAGTTGGCTCTGCCCCCCGGGGCTCTCCATCATGAGACAACCACTCCTGCCCTACCGTGCTTCTTCCTTTTAGCCCTTATTTATTGTCGGTCTGCCCATGGGACTGGGAGCCGACCACTTTTGTCCTCAATAAAGTTTCCAAAGTATCCACATGTCTAGCTAATGAGTTCTAACTGTCCAAACAGGCCAGCTACTGCTGTCACTCTCCCATTGCCCACAGGGTGGCAGTGTCCTCCAGTTCAGAGGACAGCGCTGGGCTCTTGGGATCCCCCAGGCTCTCATCCAGAAGCGAGTCCTGAATCCTGAAAGGGAAGGAAGCAACCCACTCCTGCCTAGCCCACCCCCTTGCAAGCTCTGAGCATCCCACTCCTGCCAAGCCCACTCCCAAGCTCTGTAAATATGTTGGCGAGCAATTGGAACCGCTGTTCCCCTTGCCTTTTGAGATCAGTTCCACTTAACCTGCAGGAACCCTAGACTACTCCTTCACCCCCTAGAGCTCCTTTTCTAGAACTCTCTGCATGCACTGGGCAGAAGAGCAGAAGAACCAGACCCAGACCTTTGGAATCTTCCCTTGTTAGGATGCTGTCTCCCTCCACCTACAACATGAGGCCCCAAAGCTTTCCTGAAACTGAGACCATCCCTCTTCCTCCCCATAGCAGAGTAGAAGCACACACACACACACCCCTTTTCTCTGGCCTTGACTGGAATTAACTAAAACTTTGCCTCTGGCAGGGACTGACAGCACAGTAGGAGTCCTTTAGAGGAATGAGGGAAAGGGTCAACCACTTTCCTCCGAGTCTATGCACCAAGTTAAGCAGCCACACACAATCCCCCAACCTCACTTTATTGGACGAGGCAGCAGCAGCTGTAGCCCTGGGGCCTAGTCCGGATAGGGGGGAATGGAGACTGTACAGAATGTGTTTTAAATGCCAGGAAAGAATTCACTGGTTCCTCCAGTTCACAGAAGGCTGCCAAGGCTGGAGCCTGAGCCTGAAAGTGGAGATGAGGGGAGGAGAGGGTGGCGAGAGAAAGTTGTCGTGACTGCGAGCCTGCACTACCCTGTCTTAATGTCTTCTCTTGCCTAAATGGGCTCCTCCTGTTTCTGTTATTTCCCTCGCAAGCTGCGGGGCTTCCCTCCGGCTTTCTGGGCCTCTGAATCCCGCTAGTAAAACTGCTCCCCATCTCTGTACAAATGAGAGAGCCACGACCTCTGCCCCTCTGGGGTCCAGCGCGCACTTGGGTGCGGGTGATCCCTCCGGAAGTCGCTCTGCTCCTCCGGCCGGGTCTCCTCCTCTTTCCGGCCACTTATGCCCTTGAGCACCAAGAGTTCGCCCATTTAGGCCGCCTCCAGGAACAGGAGGGTCCACCCCACCACCAGGCTCTCAAAGGGTGGGATGGCGCCTCGGGTGGGGCGGGCTGGAGGTGGGTGAGGACGGGAGAGAAGGCGTGAACGGGGGCACAGGGCGGGGCCAGCTCAGTCGGGGTAGATGATGAAGCCGGAGAAGGTGCTGTACTTGTTGGTGTTGCCGCCGTGCACCTTCCCGCCGTCCAGCTTGATGAAGACCTCGTCGCCCACGTCCAGGTGCAGAATGACGCTGTTGCTGGCGTAGTCGTAGTTCTGGTCCGCGTCCTGAGCAATGGCGCTGGCCCGGACCTATCGAGGGAGAAGAACCCCCTCATGCTCGGTGTGGAGCTGGGGTGACGGGAGGGGTCGGGGCGGCTGGGCGTGCGAAGGCGGCAGCGTAGCCGCCGCAGGGGCTGGGGAGGACCAGGAAGGAGGGTAGGACATCGCGGAGTTGCTCCAGCGCTGCCATTCACTAGCTGTGTGACGCGGAGCAAATTCCACGCCTTTTCTGGACCTCAAATTGATCTATAAAGTGAAGGATAATAATAGAACCCACCTCATAGGGTGTTAGGATTAAGTGAATTACTACGTGTGAAGTGTGTTCAGAACAGTGGGGTTTGTTTTGTTTTGTTTTTGTTTTTTTTTTTGAGGTGGAGTTTCACTCTTCTTGCCCAGGCCGGAGTGCAATGGCGCGATCTCGGCTCACTGCAACCTCCGTCTCCCGGGTTCAAGCTATTCTTCTGCCTCAGCCTACCTAGTAGCTGGGATTACAGGCGCCCACCACCACGCCCTGCTAATTTTTTCTATTTTTAGTAGAGACGGGGTTTCACTGTGTTGGCCAGGCTGGTCTCGAACTCCTCGCCTCAGGTGATGCACCCACCTCAGCCTCCCAAAGTAATGGGATTACAGGCGTGAGCCACCGCATCTGGCTCAGTGGTTTCCATTCCTAAATTATTTTTAATGCATTTTCAAATTACTATTGTCATTTAAAAAATAAAATTGGCCGGCCAGGCCCGGTGACTCATACCTGTAATCCCAGCACTTTGAGAGGCCGAGGTCGGCGGATCATCTGAGATCGGGAGTTTGAGAAGAGCCTGACCAACATAGAGAAACCCTGTCTCTACTAAAAATACAGAATTAGCTGGGCGTGGTGGTGCATGCCTGTAATCCCAGGTACTAGGAGGCTGAGGTAGGAGAATTGCTTGAACCCAGGAGGCAGAGGTTGCGGTGAGTGGAGATAGCGCCATTGCACTCCAACCTGGGCAACAAGAGCGAAACTCTGTCTCAAAAAAAATAAAAAATAAAATAAAATAAAATAAAAATTTGCCTATAGGATAATTTCTAAAATTCTGAACCGACTTGGACCTCCTGTCAGTCCTCACGGAGGGTTGGCTTCCCCAGTGGTGGAGCATAGGTGTGCCTGTGCGTGTGCCACAGAGTGCAGGCCATGCTGAGATGCACTGTTGCCCTCTCGCCTGTGGGCGTGGATTTCCCGACCCAGCACCGGCTGGTGCCCAGGCGCGGGGAGGTCGTCTTCTGCCAGAACAGGGAGCCCTTCCTCCCCTCTGGGCTCATGGCGGTCGATTTGGGCCTCCAGCCCCCCTCTTCTAGAGAGTCCCACAGGGGCTGGTTATTAACTCATTAATTATTCATCATTATTCTAATCACTATTTACCGTCCCCAGGGCCGCAGCGCCTGCACCGAAGAATACAGAGTGGGAGCTGCGCGGTCCCCTCCCCCTCTGAAACCCGCACGAATTAGTTACACACTGGCCCCCTCCACCTCCTCCCAGATACTCCGCATAGACAAAGCACACCTACTCGGTGTTATATGCAGATAGACACCTCTCCACTTTCAACATCTTTGCACTCCGCAGTCACACACACTCCCTGATACACATATATATTCTCTCACTCCATGAGGACGCACACTCACTCCCTTTCCCCGGATTCCTGGGGCAGCCCTGCTGGGATGAGACCCCAAAGCAGGTCTGGGGGCAGGTAGACGCTGCCGCGGTACCAGGCTCCCGCAGGCTGAAGCTCCTGGGTAGCCACCACTCCCTTCATGCGGGACATCCTGAGGTCACCACTCAGCCCCAACCTCCCTTTGTGGCCTGCGCAGCTCTGGCACCTTCTCCCACCTACCCCACACCTGTGGCCTCTAGTTCCCACTTTATGTGAAATTTTGGTGCTAGAGCTTAGTTCTTGGGGCTATTCCCCGAAAACAGAGGCAACAGTGACTCCAACTGCCCACAAAGGCAGGGAACCACGGAACCTGGATACTGAGAGATTGCTAGGGAGGGTGTGGGGCCTACAAGACCAGGCTAGGGTCCAAGGCTTTTCTACCTGTCCCTTGCCTCTTTCCTCCCTCAAATCCATTCATTCCAGCCACCTGGCTGACCCTTGAGCTGCCAGGCTACAGACTCAGCTGAGGGCAAGGCTGTTCTAGGCCCCCAGCCCTGGGGTGAGCAATAGGACAACTGATCGGCAGGTGAAGTGAGCAAGCTAATGTTTTCTTCCTTTTATACCTTTTCCTCAAACATCCAACCCAAATGCCCCCAACTTGAGAACAGCTGCCGACTTCCTATTGCCTGAGACATGGATTCCATTCTAATTCGAAGGAGTCTAGACTCCAGTTAGCTGGTCCAATGCAAGGCTGGGAGACCCAAAGGCCAGGAGGGCTGCCGCGGAAGAAAGGATAGCCCAAGACGGGACAAGAAAAGAGGCCAGTTGGCAGGGCCAGACACCAAAGACATCTGATGTTGCCCATAGTTGCAATGTGAGGTCGCAGCTGCAGAGACACTCAGGTTTGAGTCCTGAGTTTTAATTCTAACACCATTCCTACACTCCCTGAGGCCCTAGGCAGGAGGTTTTCCTTCTCTGGCCCCCAATATCCTCTGTGGCTAAATGAAGCCGTCTATCGTTCTTGGCAGCCTCATGTTCCTGGATTCAGTGACGCCTTTTGGGGGAATAATCTCAGGTTGTGGGATGAGTGCAGGGACATCTAGAGAGCGACCAGTCTGAGCTGGTTGGGGGGAGGGGCATCTCACCTGTCCGTTCTTCATGAGGTCAGCCCACATGCTGGTGCCGTCGCCGCCGCGCATGAGCACGTGGTAAGCGAAGAAGTAGACGCCTGGCATGGGGCAAGTAAACTTGCCGCTGGCTGCCTCATAGGCGTTGCCCACGTTGGTCACCACGTCGTCGAAGCGCAGCACCTCGTAACCCTCGTGGGGCCGCCGCAGGCCCGCGTAGAAAGCAATGCGAGGCACGTAGCCTGCAGCAGGCGCCACCCCGCCCGGACCTGGGCCGGGAGGGCCCGGGGGGCCTGGCCTGCCGGGTTCTCCAGGGGGCCCTCTTGGACCTGGTGGTCCCGGGGGCCCCCGCAGGCCTGCTTTCCCGCGCCGGCCCACCTCTCCCTTGGCGCCCGGCGGGAAGGGGGACACGGAAGCAGGCGCGCCGTCGGGGCCCGGGCCTCTGGGCCCATGCGGGTCGCACACCATGCGGCAGCGACCCAGCATCTCGTAGTGCGCTGGCCCGCGGGAGCTGTGCACCAGCAGCGGGATGGCCACCAGCAGCAGCAGCACCATGGCCACCCCGACGGCCGCACCCGCCACCCTCTTGCGGCGGCTCAGCCGCGACGCGGCCAGGGCCAGCAAATCTTCTTCACTCTTGGGCGCAATGGCTGCCGGGGCCCGGGACTCTCCGCGGGCCCAGGAGGCGGTGACCCGCCTTGGGCCTGGGTCTGCACTCCCCCGACGGCTGCCCCCCCACTCCCCTTACCCTGCCTCTACGGGTCCCCGCC